TCCGTCCCCTCATACTACCCCCGATGTATCCCCCTACTCCGTGCCACACGGAGCTCTTGCAAGCAAGCAGCCTCGAGTCGCCCCAACCCTTTCTCCTTCACCCCGTCCACCTCGCCACGCTGCTCTCCGCGGATCTCGACTCGATGAAACTTTCGATTCTTTCGGGGGCAACCTTCACAATCCCCGCCCCCCTCTTTTCTATTTTTTCCTCTCTTCGCCGACCGATACATCGCGTGTGTCGACCCGTTCGACGTTATCATACCGTTCACCCTCGGAGCACACATATTCCCCACCCCTCGCCCGGCCTTCCCATTGCGAGAGACAACAACGGGACCGACCTCGTGGTTTTTTACAGAACGGTGGGGGAAAAGGGTGACAGTATATATTGTTGTCATTTTTTTGAACGGTTTCAGGCGCATCGATCTTCGACGACTACACGTCCCGTCCTGGTCACGCGCCGATGTGACGCGCCGACAAGATCACTTTCGCCGCCGTTTCTTTCCGAGATGAACTCTATGACCCCGCGCATTACTTTCATCGATATTTTCTGTTAAGGGAGAGAATTCTCATCTGAGAGATGGCGGATTATATCGGCGAATTCCTTACAAGAATAAAAATCCTGACAAGAAGAAAGATCCGTTATGTCTTTTTGGAGCAAATACGGAAATATTTTCGACTTATATATTCTTGTTCTTCTCCGTTTTATTTTTTCTAACAAAGAATAAAGTCATATCTGTGCACGTACGATTTTATCGAAACGACTCCGTTTTCAAAAAGTACAAGAATATTTTTATATTTATACAAAAAAGTAAATACAGAAAATTAGATAGATACATCAATCGAGATAAAAGTACAAAATATTATATGACATAATGACGAATAATACAACGTAAAAATCAAATATATATATATATTACCGGAAGTCGTCGGCAAGTTATGTACGTGCTCTACAAGACGTTGCCTAGAGATCTTTTGTGAGTATAAATAAATGTAAAGATACATGGGCGGGAGAGAGGATAAATACATATGCTCTATTTAGCGCATAGTTAGATACGAGTTTAGATATGCTATCTTTTCAAATACACAAGATAGGGAACAGGTTAGAAGACATTTGGAGATGTAATTTATTTTTTGTATGAGTCCTGTTATTTATACTTTTTCTTATTTTTATGTTTTTCTCTTTTTCTCTCTCTTTCTCTTTCTGGGGAATTTTCTCTATGGTCTAATTCAAAATATGAAATGATGATAATTGTTCTATCTTTTCCAACATGTTTGCTCCAAAATGTATGTGTTTGTTAATATTAATAATACAATAATAAAAAATAAAAAAAATATATATATATATATATATATATATATATATATATATATTACTAAATCAAATTAAAATTATATATAAAACACGAAACATCGCTCACACTATTAATTTGTGAACAATTTTTGTAAGATTATGTAATTATATGAACGATTTTCTTGAAAATTTCTTGAAAAAAGATCTAATTGTATTCTGCGAATCTTTTGTTCATGAGCTACATGTAAAATTTGTAAATGCAAGGATGAAATGTAAGATATTTTTTATAAAAAATATATTTGCAAAGTTGTTTGTAAATTTTTGAAAACCTTCATACTTTGTCTTTGAAAACGTGATTTTGCACTGAATACATTGATCCTTACGTTGAATAGATGATATCCAAATACAAATAAATAAATTTTGAAATAAATGTAATTTGAATGAAAAATTGCATATAAAATACAATCCGTAATATCGTTATAAGATATACGTATCAAATAAATAAAATAACTTTTTTATGCAATTTTGAAATATTTGTATTTTTATTGGTAAGAAGAGCTTAATAAAAAAATTAAGTTGCATGCAAAAAAGAAAACATGATAATTTAGATAGATGGTAATATCTTTAAAACATACATTTAATATATTGCGAAAATATTATGAAACCATTACGTAATTTAAAAAAAGTATAAAGCAGTTAAAATTCAAGAAACAATAACAAGATTAATAACTTTTCATAGCTATAAACATGATTACGAACAATCACAGATATGCACAAAAATATCTAAAAACCTGCCAAAAATATCTAAAAATCGCAATTATACATCAAGAGCATGTAGTTTAATAGACACCAAAACAAACTTTGATTTACGATGCAGTATCACGAAAGTTCTTTTACGCCTGGCCCTTTGACCACGAGATTGTATCCATTTAAATGCCTGAACGAGAGTGTGATCGTCTACATTTACTCAAAGTTTGAAAAAAACTAATATCAATTTTAACTTGGCGTATAACTTTTAGGTGTAGCGCGTAGCACAACACATAGTCGAAACTATTCAAAAATCGGAGAATTTTGCCCGAAAATAACGACAATGCTCGAGAGATTTGCGGAGTCCGGTATTAAACTACAATCTGTCTAAATATGTAAGTATTGTGAATATCATAAAAGAGAGATTCTCTCCAGAACCTACGGCGCAAAAGGGTATCGTCTACCTAAAACATTCAGTAGTAAAAAGAGCCGTGGGGGTGGCAGATGTATCGAAACAAATTTTTATGCAGGTCAAGCTTTTCTGCGCTTTTCGAAGCCGCCACCCCCACCCCTGGTTATACACCCCACTACCGATCGACACTCATTTATACTTTTACCACCACCCCACCGCCCCCACCGCGGGGATTGTTTATGACACGATTCGTTTGATTATTAGCTGTTTATACGCGACCATCGATCGAACCGCTAACTGCACGCGGCATTCCGACAGCAAAACAGTTCCGCCGCGCGCTTTACTGCAACCCTTTCGCTCCAAAACCGGGTTTTTTTTTTCCGAGCGTGTATCTAAACCGGCGAAACTGGTTTTACTGGACTCTCCATTGGACTCGATTATTCCTTTTCGTGATCTTAGTTCTATACAGACGACTGTTCGAATGACATCTCAAAAGTGCTTCACGGATACGTCTCTCGTCGTTCATCGATGCAACCATTTTGTGTACTATAGAAATAAGATTTTGGAATCTTTCTGGTTCAACGTAAAGATGTTTACGTACGAATCTGTTGCGCAATAATTAATAAAAATAAGGGATGAAGCGTTATATTCTACAACACCAATCGCGTATTCTTCTCTGACAGTTTATGTATCTTTCCAAGTTTTATTTCAATTTCTGCTTGTCCTGTTTTTTTATCGCGGAAGATTAAAGAACATAATTTACGATTATTGTACTTGACGTACGTTAAAATGTAATAGTATTTTTTTTCGAATTATTATAAAAATATTTGATGTAAAGCAATGATGCGGATTTTTAAATCTATCATTAATTGAGTTTAGTCTGCGAAACATATTTTGGTTATTTATACATTTCACTTTACATCGCATTTGAGAATGGCTTCGGTGAGGTTTATGTTATTGATTTAAAAACGAATCCGCGCAACGTCTATCTCGACCTGTCGCGGGTTAAACGGCTGCCGTCGGAACAATGTTTGACATCTCCGCTTTTCCGGCTGACAGGAGCCAACCGTACCTACTGTCACGAAGAGGCTTTCGATAAGTTTTGCCGGATTATCATACGTTCAAAATTTGCTTCTAGTTATCAATATTTTGTGTTTTGTTATCAAAATACAATTTAATATATTATATACGTTACATAAAAATTATCAATCAATTATTATATACTTTTTTTTCTTACAATTTATATATTATCCCAATTTTATATATTCATTGTTAAATATTCATGTTTATACTTTTATCACGTAACACGACTTTTATGTAGAATTTTAAGTTATCTACAAACCTGACGCGGCACGACTTTTTCGCAGGGAAAATGTTTATATTGCAAGTGGTATGTATTTCTGCCACTTATTTTAAGTATATTAAGTGATTATTTATTTTATATAAAGGGGGGGGGGGTTATAATATGACATAATATGTGATATTTTACTATTTACATTTTTTCCAATAGAATATCATACAAAAGCACAAACTTTAATAATGTTAATATGTAATAGTTAATATGTAATGGTTTTTACCGCAATCCAAATTTCAAATGCAATTAAATATGTGATTTAGATATTCAATATTTAGATATTTGATAAATATTTTAACATATCTATTTTATCAAAACGCTTCACAATTATTTATATAGCAAAATTGCACGATTTTGTACCAATTGTGCGATTGTTTATTTTATTAGAAAATTATATGTGCACTATTCACTCATCGTATTTTACGTTGCAAGATTCAAATTTCTTACACGATCTTATTATCACTCAGATATTATAAATTTTTGCCTTTATGCGAGATTTTACTTTATTATTATTTCTTGACGTGAGCACAGTTAACACCAACACATTACACCTGTCACCGTTGACATCACCACACGATCAAGAATTTTTCCTTCGCTCGAAGCGCAACTAACCTAAGGGGAAACAGTCCGTGTAATACGGACATCGTGAGATGTGAGAGATAACTGATTCGATCACTAGCGAAAGATATGTTATTTTTCGAGCCCACAACATACCTATCTACTGAAAGAAAGTAAGTGTTATCGTAAAATTGCTTAATTGTATATAAAACTGTCCTTGCATGGATTTTCCGTTATTCCAAAAAAAAGCTTTCGCTAAATTTTATTTTATTAAGACGTGAACGTAAAATTAATATGCATTTCTGTTAATCTCTATGTTGCAGAATTGTTTCTCTCTCTCTTCTTCCCTTATATATATATATTTTATTTAATATCGTAATTTTTTTTTATATTGTAAAAAAAAATATCGTAGAACAGAAAAATCCGTTTATGCGACAAAAAGTTCAATGTATGTATAACGTGTCGAATCGCGTTTGTCTTCTGAAAAATAATTCACATAATCGCGGATTGCTTCGCGTGCCATTAAGGGAAGAAGATCGTTGCGCGCGAACCACGCTCGCGAGTTAGCAACAAGACGCAGAACGAAAAGAACCGAAAAGTTCGAAGATTTCGATGCTTCCTTTTGTTCGTCGACTCACCTGTTTGTCGCGCCGATCCCGAGGAGACAAGTTCGGAGGGCGAGGACGGGTAAGAAGACGTTCACAACATCGGCGCACTCGAAGCCGGCAGAATGATCCTCTTCGATTCTCTCTCACTGCAAGCTCTCGCGCGAGCTTTTAACATCACAGTATCTACAACGTCGCGTTAAGAAGTCCTCCTCCCCCCCGTACACCTTTCCTTCCGTCGCGAGAATTTCTTTTTGTTTTATTTAAAAAAAAAAAAAAACTTTCCTTTCTTTTTTTCTAAATATACTTTAAACAAATTATTCCTTTGATCTCGTCCTTTTTCTCGGCTCGCGCGCGCGGCCCCGGTGCCTCTTTTTGCGTTCGGGGCTCCCGGCCTGACGAACGTGGCCGATCAGCGCGCGGGTAGAGAGAGCTTGGGCTGCGTGGCGGAGCGCGAACTTTCGGGCTTGCGGGCGCACTGGCGCACACGGCACACTCGCACCGCGTAGGCGGAGAGAGGAGAAGCTCCGGCGGATGCTGTAAGCCGAAGGGAGAGAACTACGCGCGCCGGCCAGCGGCGGAGCAAGCCGGTGGGGCCCCTCTTGATCACTCGCCCCGTACAGTGGCGCCCCTGTCGCGCGCAATCGCAAGCTCACCGCTGCTTCTCCTAGGCGCGTTACACGAGCGACGAGGACGAGAGATTGAGAGATCGAGAGGAGGCGGTGGGAAACGAACGAGAAAGAAGATCCGCGCGCCGCGCCGCGTCCGCGCCGGCCGAAGAGAAGGACCATCGGGCGAGCGGGCGAGCGAGGCGGTGGACCGACGAAAGGAGTCGACCGGGGAAAGGGGGGGGGTGGAGGGGGGCTCGCTATTCCTTCTCCCACTCTTCTGTCGCCCCCATGTGTACTCGTTCTGTCTCCCTCTGTAGCTCCGTGCTCTCTTCGTCGTCCGACTCGTCTAGGCAGACCCTTGTTATCTACCTGGAGCACGGGCCCAGGGGGGCCTCGAGCAAGGCCCCCGTTGTCAGGCCTGTAGGCATCTCGTGTTCCCACGAGCTCGGGCCCCTCTGACGTACGATGTCCCGAATGTGCGGCTACAAGGCGTCCTTTCCTCTACTCGTCTATATCGTCGATTTTTTCTCCTCTCTGTCGATCCTCTCACGCATTTCACTGGTTCCGTTCTTCTCTTCTCTACCCCTTCCGTACCTTTTTATTTTGGAACTCACGAGGAAACCGGTAGCCCGAGGTAGTCGTCGGCGGCGATCTTTGAACGACTTCCGGATCTTTTGAGAGACTTTATTCGTCTTTACGATAATGCGAAGAAAATTAACGTAGAAATATAAACACGATACATCAGTCTACAAATCAGTCAGTATAAGCTTTGTATAATAATGTTACAACTTGTTGGAATCCATTAATTGGGACTCTAATTATCATCTTCATAAAATTAAGTAATACATTTTTTTTCCAGAATGTTTAAATAAAACAAAGATGTAATGAAAAATGTATGTAACTTTGACCATATCTAATAATGCGCCAAGCAAGTCGACATACACGGTCAAGTATTCGTTTAACAAATGTATCGGAAGCGTACATAAGTCATTGCGTGGATACAAATGCAAGTTCCCATTGCCCAACTGTCTGATATGCATACAATGTCACGATTGCCGTATGTCTGTCTCTCTGCGACATTTTGATATAATGGATAAGTTCGCGTTGACGTTGATTTGCGTGCTCCGATAGACCGATAATCGGCTCGATTAAAAATCTCAAATTTGCAAAAAACTCTAAACTATTAATATCATTTCGGAAATGTACTTTTGAAAACATTTTGAAAACATTGATGATATGTATCGATAAAAACATATTTACGTGAAATATCTATACAGTAAGAATATAACGTGTGTTCTGTTGAATATATAAAACAAGATATAAAATTTCATACAACATGATTATTGAAAATTGTTTCAAATTATATTAATTTTTAAAATACAATTTTATTGATATTTTTGGATTTTGTATTTCTATGGCTTTTTGGAATATTATCAAAATAAGAACAGCAGATCGTCGTTCAATTAAAATTAGAAATATACGGGTTCAAATTCATGGCTTCCGCGTCTCCCTCCCCCATTTTTGGCCCGATTCCGACATCTTGTCTGCGCCATCAATATCATAGCAACAATAATTATTATAACAAATGTCCAAGATTTTTGCAATATTAATAGAAAAGCAAATATTCTTTAAATTATTGTTTTACTCATATTTAACATCTCATTATCTCATTATATCATAATTTTAAAGAGAAAGATTAAATATATATA